CACTATCTTGTCCAATGACGTCTCTAATTAACATAAATCATATATGTGTAAACAAAGAACTTACATAAACTTACAGGAATGTCATGGATGTTTGATAAGGGGGAAAATTTTAAAACAAAAAAAATGGAAATTTCATTGCTATAGTGATATTACTGAATTTGGCAAAAAATGCCTGTCAGCAACCAGTTGCCATGGCAACATGACCATGGCAACATGAAAGTATGAATATCAAATTATTGCAAAATTTATTTGAGGAAAAGTCACCAAGTTTGGTGGTTCTGGTTTAAACTTTTCAGACATTATACAACAAGAAAGTGGCCGTGGGCCTCAAAACACCGCCCCCCTCCCCATATAACTGTTGCCATGGTAACCCGTTGTCAGCCCAGAAGAAAACAACTTTTGTAAGTGCGAGGTAGGTTTCCTTAGCACTTGAAAAAAGCTTTAGATTTCGTTTTCTTTACTGTTTGGCCATGCTGTGGATGTTTTTTTCACTTATAATGCAGCGGTTGGGATTCTTTCACAATGGAAATAATGGTTTAGTCTAGGGGTCACTGTACTCCCCCCCATGGAGACCCCAAAGATATTTTCTGATATGTTGTAGACAAAGGTTATAGCCATAACTGTGCCAAAAATCAACTAATTCTACCTGCCTTTTAAGCGGCCATGGTTCACTAAAAACGTCCTAAAAATGGCTTTTTCTCAATTTTGAAATTTTACAAAAACACGCCATTTTTAAACGTCTGCTACAGCTCACCACAAAAACATTTCGAGCAAAACTTCATATCATTTTCTTAGTTACAATATGAATCATAAAATATGTTAGAAGCAATGAGATATGTGTTACTTTCTGTGAGATACGGAAGGTAAAAGATGGTCCATTTTGGGCAAGACTTATGCCTCAACAAAGTAAAAATCCGCCATTTTGAAAAATGGCCGTTGCCATGGCAACAAATAACCAGGCGTCCAAAACTTACCCATTTTTGTAAGTTTGGGTCAAGGCCCTACCACCACACAAAGTTTGAGAAAATTTGATTTTTTGAGTTTGGCCACTTTTTTTCTGATTTGCTTGGTTTTTACAGACATCGGCTCTTAAGTTGTATATACCTTACTTTCTTAAAGTAATTCTTACATCAAATGTTACTAGTTTCGCTGTGGGACGGCATAGATGATTATTTTGTTTTATTATGCCATCCTCCAGAGTTACCATCGGCTCCGTATTGTCGCTATATAGCAAGCTACCATGGACTACCCAGGCCTAGAGCCTCGGATGACGTGATTTTTTATTTTTAGTTTTTGAGAACAGTCAAAAATCAATGCGCGCGCGGATGTCATCCATAAAATTAAGTCGGTGTGGCCTTAGCAACGATGCTGAACTTTTTATCCACATAAAATACTAGTAAATCAACGGTACACTCTCTAGTAATGTTCCCTCTGTAATGAATGTATGTCATCGTTTAGAAAATACATATCAAATGTCTATCAAATTCTTGGTATTCAGAACATAAACGGAGTTTGCGTCCATGTACATGCAGTTTCTTTATAATCATTTACTATCTTTCTTTTTACTTTGCAGATCATTAATGACATTTACCTGTTTAAAGTTGGACACAACTTGAAAAGGACATCTCAAGTTCGGCTTGAACTTTTACAGAATAGTCAGGTAAGTTTTATGTCCTAATGATAGCTACGTTAACTCATCTTATCTGTAATCTGATATTATTGATTATTTATTATTATTATTTCGTCATGAAGATGATTAAAACACGTTTTATTGCACGGTATTCTTGACCAAATACTTTACATGTACACAACAACAAGGATTTGTGAGACAGGAACTGTCTAATGCCCTTAATAAATTTAAATTCTACGCTTAATAGATTTAAATTCACAGTTTTTGAAACTGATAAATTACATTTTTTTCTCGTTTAGCAAGGTTCTCATTGGCACAAATCATATATTCCCCGCCCAAACAACACGGGTTATGCAATGTTAATTCTTGTGAAAGAAGCAATTTTCTAAGTACTTTTAAGATCCTGATTTGCGTAAGTAATGTAAAACATAAACATATTTTCGAGAATAAAGTAAATCACAAAGGGTCAGTAGCCATCTCGTTGAACTTACGTTAAAGCCTACGTCTTTCTTATACCAGGTGACGTGGTTTGGCAGGCAAGTACCAAGGAAAAGGTACCTGAGGTCTCTGTTGCTCTTCGATGACCCAGAGTGGGACAAACAATCATATTTGGTGGGGAGAATATCATTTCATAATTTTGTGCATGACGCTTTGAACTACTTTTAATATTTCCATAACAAAGATATGTATATATGTCAACTGCTCCTGTCACACATTCATGAATGTTGGCCTCCCGAACGCTAGCCGAACACCGTGCTTTATGAAGTGGTTCGGCTGGTGTTGGGCCATGCAGGTCGGCTACAATTCGGCTGCGCCAGGCGAATGTTTCAAAATGTTGAAAGCATTCATGATTAGTCGGCCTGGTTGGCTAATGTTCGGTTGGTGTTCGGCTGGTGTTCGGGAGTAGGTCGGCAGTGTTCGGCACATGATTGGAGACGAGCTACAGAGGAATCCTTCCTCCAAGGCCTCTAACAACCGTGCCGAATGTTTCCAGAGCGTGTGCCGAATCAGCCCGAATTACAGAGAATCAATAGCCGACCACCAACCGACCTCCAGTCCACTCTCCCGACTCATTAGGGAACGTTCTCACTCAGTCATATAGATTCAGACTATTGATTTATTTCTTATATGGCAATATTGACAAAAAGACGTGACACCGTGCCTTAGAAGAAGGCAAAATCCAAGAACGTTGAAAGGTGCCACAAAGTTAAAATCTGACATGATTGTGGACCTCAGATTCTGCAAATTTTCATTCGGGACAGAGTTGGCAAATGGTTAGGAGGGATTCGTCAGTCTTCGGATAGTGGTCGGGATGGTTGGAAGTATGTTGGCTAGGATTGGGGCTAGTTTGGCAAATGGTCCTAAAATGTAAAGGATATGGTTGCCCAAAAACATAGGCGTGGCCCAAATCTGGTCAGACTGCTCAATTCGGGAGAGGGTCGTGAATGTGTGACAGGGGCTTTGGGTGCAGGTCACAACAAACCTACGTAGTTTATAGATGCAGGCCATCAAACTAGTACGGGTACTATAGTTTAGTAAGCGAATTTAGCTTCTCGCTGCTTTGTGATGGTGCAAAATAATGTAAGATCAAACATTTTGTCTTTTGATCTATGAATTGGTCTGTATAACTTAACCATAGGTAAAAGGCTACATAGATTGTATTCTGTTGATCTAGATATTTGTGTCAACGTTTGTGTAAATGAATATCGTTGTACAGCAGGACGTAATTCAGCCGTTGGCTGCAAGGTCCTTGTTTTTATGAATAAAAATACCATTTGATTGTCTCAATGATTGATAGATCGTGAAAAACTATTTACCTATACGTCGATGAAGGTTAGACATCCAGGTAATACGATATGCCAAAAAACAGTTACTCAAGCAACTGGATATGATTTTGAAAACGTCAGACGTTTCAGCTAGTATCCACTAGCTTTCGTCAGTGACTGAGAGACCAGAGGGGAAAGCAGGTTTATACTACACAACCTGTTGATTGATATGCAAATAATCAT